CCATACACATTCACACACTGCCCCCACACACACCATACACATTCACACACTGTCCCCACACACACACACACACCATACACATTCACACACTGTCCCCACACACACACACCATACACATTCACACACTCCCCCCCCCACACACACACACCATACACATTCACACACTGTCCCCCACACCCACACACTGAACCTTTCACACACATTGCACCACTGCTCCTATACCCTACTACAGCCCCATATCCCAGCAGACTCCAGGTAAGTTGTCAAACTGTTCTAAAACGGTTTGACGACTTACTCTGGGAGGGGGTGCCGACGCTCCTGGCACCATAACCACTACACAGAGGAGTAGTGGTTATTGTGCATGGAATATTTCTTTAAATAATCTACAAGTGTCCCTCCCAGGCTCAGGTTCTGGATCCGTCACTGATATATGACATGTATATATTAATGTGTGTATATTAGTTATATATATATGTATATATATATATATATATATATATATATATATATTATATTTACACATATTAATGTACATTTATATATGCATAATACACAGAGAAATTGCATTAATATGTACCATACGTAATGAGCAGATATTGGCCCAATCTTGTTGCTAGGTGCATACTCCAGCACAATAACATATTTAAAGTGAAGAGCGCACCCACAGGACTTCAAAATAAACATTTTTTACAGTTGTGCCCTACATACATTCACCATTTCAGTCCCATTAATAAGCTTTCCTTAATATGTCCAGGTAGTTGGACTGAAACATTGATTACATGCAAAGGCACATCTGCTTAAAATAAATCTGCACTTTTGTTTATTTTGAAGCCTATGAGTGCGCTCTTTACGTTGAAGTACTTTTTAATTTTAAGTTATCTGTTCTAACTCTGTATCTGCACACTATGCTGGCGCGACGCATTATGGGGCTGGTAAATATTTTTTTTCCAGGGCTGCTTTTAATTCCCAGTCCGGCCCTGTCCACAAGACCTCTAAATGTGTCCTGTGGCATCTGGTACCAAGACATTAGCCCCAGATCATTTAAGTTCTGCAAATTGTGAGGTATCACCTCCACTGATCAGATTTGTGGTTCCAGCACATCCCACAGATGCTTAATCAGATTGGGATCTGTGGGATCTTTGTCATGTTCCTCAAACCAAACCTGGAGAGAAAAAAAATCAGTGTGGCAAAGTGCATTATCCTGCTGAAAGAGGCCACTGCCATCAGGGAACACCATTGTCATGAAGGGGTGTACGTGGTCTGCAGCAATCTCTAGATACGTGGTACGTGTCAAAGTAAAATCTACATGAATGCTAGTACCCAAAGTTTCCCAGCAGAACATTGCGCAGAGCATAACACTGCCTTCACTTATCTGCCTTCTTCCCATAGTGCATCCCGCTGCCATCTCTTCCACAGGTAAACAAAGCACAGGCACCCAGCCATCCACCTGATCTAACACATGATTCATCAGCTCCATGGTCCTGTTCTAACACTCATGTCCCCACTGAAGGCCCCACAGTGGACAGCAGTCATCGTGGACTTTCTGACTGGTCTGCGGCTTTGCAGCCCCAATGCAGTGTGAGTTCTGATACCTTTCTACCATAGCCAGCAGGGCCAGATTAAGAGCCCAGTGGGCCTGGTGCTGACAATTATGACGGGCTTAATTACAGAATCATATCGACCAAAAACAGTAAAACACTCCCAAGCGTCATGTATCTGATGGAGATGGTGCTGGAGAGAAAGAAAACAGCAGCTATAAGAAAACACATACCCTAGGCTAATCTCTCACTAATTTATGTTTTCATCTTTCAAGTAAATCCATAACCCCTAACAGCAGTGTCCAGTCAAGTAAGAAGTCAATGGGCACAGTAAAAGGGTGTGCCACTGACACAAATCACGTAACCTGCCAAAAGGGTCGAACATGCCCAAAAAGAGGACATGTCTGCCCAAAGAATTAGAAGGCCAGCCTGGTATGAATGCATGTCAGGCTGCCTGCCAATCATGCAGCTGGCCAACTAAGGGCATACTATGCAGACAGCACCCCAGCACCCTGAGCTTGGCATAAATGCATCTAATGATGCGCTCGCTCAACGCTTTCTAAGGACTGTCCCCTAGCACTCGCTGGCCACTTGTCTCCTTACCTTCTTACTAGGCAGGCAGAAGCTCCTGGTATATGATCTGGGACAGAGAAAAGCTGTATGTAGTGAGTGTAGAAGAAAGGGAACATGCCACAGTGTTAGAGAGACCAAAGTCAGCATTACCTTAAAGGATCACTATAGGGTCAGGAACACAAACATGAATTCATGACCCTATAGTGTTAACACCACCATCTAGCCCCCTGGGCCCCTCATGCCTCCATAAATATAGCAAAATCTTACTGTATTCAAGCCTGAAGCTGTAACTCTGCATGCTGTTAGACTCAGAAAAACAAGCAGTCTGCTGACATCATTAGAAGTGGTGGCCTAATCCAATCACAGTGCTTCCCCATAGGATTGGCTGAGACTGACAAAGAGGCAGATCAGGGGCAGAGCCAGCATGATTCAAACACAGCCCTGGCCAATCAGCATCTCCTCATAGAGATGAATTGAATCAATGAATCTCTAGGAGGAAAGTTCAGTGTCTGCATGCAGAGGGAGGAGACACTGAATGTTTGGATGCATTTTAGGCAGCCATGACCCAGGAAGGATCTCTAACAGCCATCTAAGGAGTGGCCAGTGGGCTATCACTAGGCTGTAATGTAAAGACTGCATTTTCTCTGAAAAGACAGTGTTTACAGCAAAAAGCCTGAAGGTAATGATTCTACTCACCAGAACAAATTCAATAAGCTGTAGTTGTTTTGGTGACTATAGTGTCCCTTTAACTATATTCATTGTCAGCCAGTCCACACAAGTTTTGTTCCCTCTTAAGTTTCCATACTTAAGTAAGAGTATGTGAAAAGTAGTTAGGGTTGCCACCTTTCTTGGAAAAACATACCGGCCTTGCTAATTTGCATAATTAAATATGTATGGGTGACATCACATGATGTAAATCACATGGAGTGACATAAGAGCAAATGCTGTAAAATCACCAAAAACTACTTAGTCCTATGTATCACAGTGTCTCAATGCCCCATGTCTCCCTGTGTCCCCATGTATCCCAGGGTCCCCATGTCACTAGGAAGACAGGAAGACCTGGGGACACGGGGAGACCTAGGGACACAGAGACACCAGTGACACTGGGAGACTAGGGGACTCGGGCTGGGACGCATGGGGACACTAGGAAAATAGGGGACACTTGACGACATGGGGACACAGACACCAGGGACACAGACACTAGAGACACTGGTTGGGGGACATTGAGACATAGGGGCACTGGGAGACATGGGGACAAGGAGACACCAGGGCCACAGACACTAGGGACACTAGCTTGGAGACATGGGGACATTGAGACACTTGAGGCACTGGGAGAATGTGTCCCCATGTGTCTGTGTCATAATGTCTCCCAATGTCCCTTAGTGTCTCAGTGTCTGCCATAATGTCTCCCAATGTCCCTTAGTGTCTCAGTGTCTGCCATAATGTCTCCCAATGTCCCTTAGTGTCTCAGTGTCTGCCATAATGTCTCCCAATGTCCCTTAGTGTCTCAGTGTCTGCCATAATGTCTCCCAATGTCCCTTAGTGTCTCAGTGTCTGCCATAATGTCTCCCAGTGTCCCTTAGTGTCTCAGTGTCTGCCATAATGTCTCCCAGTGTCCCTTAGTGTCTCAGTGTCTGCCATAATGTCTCCCAGTGTCCCTTAGTGTCTCAGTGTCTGCCATAATATCTCCCAATGTCCCTTAGTGTCTCAGTGTCTGCCATAATGTCTCCCAGTGTCCCTTAGTGTCTCAGTAGCCATAATGTCTCCCTCCCAGTGTCCCTTAGTGTCTCAGTGTCTGCCATAATGTCTCCCAATGTCCCTTAGTGTCTCAGTGTCTGTCATAATGTCTCCCAATGTCCCTTAGTGTCTCAGTGTCTGCCATAATGTCTCCCAATGTCCCTTAGTGTCTCAGTGTCTGCCATAATGTCTCCCAGTGTCCCTTAGTGTCTCAGTGTCTGCCATAATGTCTCCCAGTGTCCCTTAGTGTCTCAGTGTCTGCCATAATGTCTCCCAATGTCCCTTAGTGTCCCAGTGTCTGCCATAATGTCTCCCAGTGTCCCTTAGTGTCTCAGTGTCTGCCATAATGTCTACCAGTGTCCCTTAGTGTCTCAGTGTCTGCCATAATGTCTCCCAGTGTCCCTTAGTGTCTCAGTGTCTGCCATAATGTCTCCCAGTGTCTGCCATAATATCTCCCAGTGTCCCTTAGTGTCTCAGTGTCTGCCATAATATCTCCCAATGTCCCTTAGTGTCTCAGTGTCTGCCATAATGTCTCCCAGTGTCCCTTAGTGTCTCAGTATCTGCCATAATGTCTCCCAGTGTCCCTTAGTGTCTCAGTGTCTGCCATAATGTCTCCCAGTGTCCCTTAGTGTCTCAGTGTCTGCCATAATGTCTCCCAATGTCCCTTAGTGTCTCAGTGTCTGTAATGTCTCCCAATGTCCCTTAGTGTCTCAGTGTCTGCCATAATGTCTCCCAGTGTCCCTTAGTGTCTCAGTGTCTGCCATAATGTCTATGTCCTTAGTGTCTCAGTGTCTGCCATAATGTCTCCCAGTGTCCCTTTAGTGTCTCAGTGTCTGCCATAATGTCTCCCAATGTCCCTTAGTGTCCCAGTGTCTGCCATAATGTCTCCCAAGTGTCCCAGTGTCTGCCTTCCAATGTCCCTTAATGTCCCAGTGTCTGCCATAATGTCTCCCAATGTCCCTTAGTGTCTCAGTGTCTGCCATAATGTCTCCCAGTGTCCCTTAGTGTCTCAGTGTCTGCCATAATGTCTCCCAGTGTCCCTTAGTGTCTCATTGCAGCCTTTCCCCCCATCCCTTACTTCCCTGAGCTGTAGGCTGTCTCTGCAGGGTGGGAGTTGCTGACTGGACTCTCTGTAGTTGCACCCCTGCAGATCAGTGAGTATAGATAGGCAGGGAGGGATATGCTGGAACTTCCTATCCCTGCCTGTCTCCACACACACAGTGACCCCTACTGGCCAGTGCTGGTATTGCAGAGTAATCTCTTGTTTATACTGAGAAAAATACCAGCATTTGTATTGCCAGTATCACTGCAATATTGGCACCAGCCAGGAAGCCTCAAATACTGGCTGTGCTAATAAAATAAAAGCCAGGTGGAATCCCTAAGAGTAGTGTGTGGAAAAAAAAAATGTTAAAAAAAATTATTATAATTTTTTTTTTTTTAGGAATCAATGGGCCTATTCCATGGGCCTGGAGCTGCAGCTCCATCAGCCCCTATGTTAATCCGGCCCTGATAGCCAGCATTAAGTTTCTCAACAATTTGAGCTACAGTAGCTGTTCTGTGTGATCGGACGAGATGGACTAGCCTTCACTCCCCACTTGCTTCAATGAGCCTTGGACGCCCATGACCCTGATGCTGGTTGACGTGTTGTCCTTTCTTGCTCCACTTTTTGTAGGTAGCAACCTGCATACCGGGAACACTCCACAAGCCTTGCCATTTTGGAGATGCTCTGATCCAGTCGTCTAGCCATCAATATTTGGCTCCTGTCAAAGTCACAAACGTTTTTTTCCCAACACATTAAATTCAAGAATTGTCTGTTCATTTGCTGCCTAATATATCCCACCCCTTGACAGGTGTCATTGCAACAATATAATCAATGTTATTCACTTCACCTGTCATTGGTGTTAATGCTGTGGCTGATCAGTGTATCATTTATTAGAAAATGTATATATGAAGCATTGTGAAGTGAAGTGAGGATTAAAACATACATAGTGTGTGAAACTTCATAGGGCCCTTACTCTCTCACATACCTTTTCACCCCTCACCATCCCAGGAGACCAAATCTTATTATCTAGAAACTAAAGGACTCTTTAGAAAAAGCTAAAACTAACATTGAATATTCTAAAAAAAACACTTTTACCACAGGGGGAAACAGAACAATTAAGCTGCTCATTCTCATAGCTTCGGGAAGATTCCCGGTATGAATGACCACAGTGCTGAGTATTATAAAATGTTAAAAAATCACCTTCTTCCATCCCCTAAATCAATTTTTACTGCTATTTATGAAGACCAGATTCCAGCAAGCAAATTGTGCCAAGCCTCCAATTACTAAACATAGACTTCTGCCCAAAGATAAACATTTTTTCCAGATATATTACCTCCACAACAATAGGGATTCATTAGGGGTAAAAATTTATTATTAGAGATGTTCGAGCGTCATATCGGCAACTATGGTAACAATTACTTCTACACCGGACAACTCTCGGCTCCTAAACCTATTAATAGCGGGAGCCTTGGTGGGATTGGTGAGCTAGTGTGTGGTGGTTGGCTGAAATATATAGCTCAGCCATTTTAAGAATCCTGTCACTAATAACTTTACTTACCTGGCAGAGTTGGTCCCTCGCTCCCTGGGTTATTTTTTTTAAAACAGCGGCCCACTGAGAAGGGGGCGGGCCAGAGAGGGGTTTGTTTTGTAATCACCAGTGACAAGCATGCCCCTTCTCAAAGTGAGCATTTGCTTCAATGCTCTTCGAGGGCAGCCCATGTGCAGAGCTTTGATGAAGAGCTCTCGCATGGGAAAAAGGACCTATGTTTGTTGTGCACAGCCATGGCCGGACTGGGAATAAAAAGCAACCCTGGAACATTTTTATACCAGCCCTATCATTAATTGTGCCAGCTTGGACAGATATACAGATATATATAGGAATGCATTGGATTGGCTGAGATCATCAATTCTGATTACCTCATGGCATGTTGAGTGAGGACATGGTTGTTCTTTTAGTGGGCGGCTTGATTACTCTTGAGCGGGCGGCTTGATTACTCCGCTCAGTACTCCATTTAGACTTACCATTTGATTCACTTAGTTTCTCCCGATTGATACTTAGTTTAGTAATTGGGGTAATATCTTGTTAAACCATTTTGGGATACTTTTGCTCTATAGTCTTGGACACATGTATCCGGTTTGGGTTACTCACATGCAGTGAACGTGTGCCGGCTGCTAAAATGTGCTGTGACAAGAAATCACATTAACTATCGTAGGGACCAGCCGACACACGCACCTTTCCTGTGATACCATTTACTAATTAACAATTCATAGATCATGGGTTTGAATAATATACCTGCTTACCTACTATTGTTGTTTACAGTGGGTTCGTAGCCCACTCAAAACGTTATACACCTCTTATGTTACCGCATTGACATCATGTGACCATATGGCGTTAGGATACTGGGTGTCAAACCAGACATATTGCCATATATCTATTTTACAGCAGAACCTACTCCTTGTTCCCATTTATAAACTAATTTTATACCTGTTACATGATAGGTCGTTCAGAGCCCCCTTACTTTACCCCACCTATTGGGAGATATGTGTTGGCCCTCTGTCTCCTGGGTCTTCTTTCTCCCTGGGTTTGTCTAGGGAATATTAACTCCGAGTCCCAACGTTGTTTTTCTTGTTGCAGAACAAGACATTTTAAATTTGTTTGTACTCTTCATATTACTTTTCTATTTCTATTATTCTTATTTCCTACTCAACTTCTTTATTCTTATCACTTTAGAGTGATTTCTGTTATATATATATATATCCATTGGTCGGATATACATCTTTTTACTTATTCAAATAAAAGTAATTTATTCTCGTATGTATCCGGGGCTCAAACCCCTAGATAGGGTGGTGAACCATCTCTCTTTACCCTGCACGTATAGTGGTAGACAATATCCCCATCTTTTGTACTGCAACATTCGGCTACAGTTTGACACCAGGGCATGAAAGACTGAGAGAAAGGCAGGGTTATCCTCTAAATTAACAATTGTTGTGAATGAAAATCTATGTTGCATTATTTAGGCTACAATAGTCAAGCTGTTGGCTACGTTAGAAATATTTTCAAATCCGCTATTTTGGTCTAAATTATGCAATTTAGAATTTCACTACCTAAAATTAAAAAAAAAAAGATACATTTCTGCACATGTGTAGATGCATAATACTCCCACAAATCACATAGATAAACTATATTTTCATCTTTAAGTCAACTAATCATTTTAAATAAAAATATATATAGATAGACATGCTGGCACAGAGTCACTGATGCCAACACATACACACTCATTAACAGACACTGGCACACAAAGACACTAATGCGGTATTCCATACAAACACTGGTACACAATCACTAATGCATACATAATCAGTGACATACACACTGTGACACAGTAAACGGAGCGAGCCCTGCTTCTATCTATCTATGGATTTATATAGTGTATAAACAGAGCGAGCCCTGCTTCTATCTATCTATGGATTTATATAGTGTATAAACAGAGCGAGCCCTGCTTCTATCCATCTATGGATTCATATAGTGTATAAACAGAGCGAGCCCTGCTTCTATCTATCTATGGATTTATATAGTGTATAAACAGAGCGAGCCCTGCTTCTATCTATTTATGGATTTATATAGTGTATAAACAGAGCGAGCCCTGCTTCTATCTATCTATGGATTTATATAGTGTATAAACAGAGCGAGCCCTGCTTCTGTCTATCTATGGATTTATATAGTGTATAAACAGAGCGAGTCCTGCTTCTATCTATCTATATATTTATATAATGTATAAACAGAGCGAGCCCTGCTTCTATCTATCTATGGATTTATATAGTGTATAAACAGAGCGAGCCCTGCTTCTATCTATCTATGGATTTATATAGTGTATAAACAGAGCGAGCCCTGCTTCTATCTATCTATGGATTTATATAGTGTATAAACAGGGCGAGCCCTGCTTCTATCTATCTATGGATTTATAGAGCGTATAAACAGAGTGAGTCCTGCTTCTATCCATCTATGGATTTATATAGTGTATAAACAGAGCGAGCCCTGCTTCTATCTATCTATGGATTTATAGAGCGTATAAACAGAGCGAGTCCTGCTTCTATCCATCTATGGATTTATATAGTGTATAAACAGAGCGAGCCCTGCTTCTATCTATCTATGGATTTATATAGTGTATAAACAGAGCCAGCCTGCTTCTATCTATGGATTTATATAGTGTATAAACAGAGCGAGCCCTGCTTCTATCTATCTATGGATTTATATAGTGTATAAACAGAGCGAGCCCTGCTATCTATCTATGGATTTATATAGCGTATAAACAGAACGAGCCCTGCTTCTATCCATCTATGGATTTATATAGTGTATAAACAGAGCGAGCCCTGCTTCTATCTATCTATGGATTTATATAGTGTATAAACAGAGCGAGCCCTGCTTCTATCCATCTATGGATTTATATAGTGTATAAACAGAGCAAGCCCTGCTTCTATCTATCTATGGATTTATATAGTGTATAAACAGAGCGAGCCCTGCTTCTATCTATCTATGGATTTATATAGTGTATAAACAGAGCGAGCCCTGCTTCTGTCTATCTATGGATTTATATAGTGTATAAACATAGCGAGCCCTGCTTCTATCCATCTATGGATTTATATAGTGTATAAACAGAGCGAGTCCTGCTTCTATCCATCTATGGATTTATATAGTGTATAAACGGAGCGAGTTCTGCTTCTATCCATCTATGGATTTATATAGTGTATAAACAGAGCGAGCCCTGCTTCTATCCATCTATGGATTTATATAGTGTATAAACAGAGCGAGCCCTGCTTCTATCTATGGATTTATATAGCGTATAAACAGAGCGAGCCCTGCTTCTATCCATCTATGGATTTATATAGTGTATAAACAGAGCGAGCCCTGCTTCTATCTATCTATGGATTTATATAGTGTATAAACAGAGCGAGCCCTGCTTCTATCCATGGATTTATATAGTGTATAAACAGAGCGAGCCCTGCTTCTATCTATCTATGGATTTATATAGTGTATAAACAGAGCGTGCCCTGCTTCTATCTATGGATTTATAGAGTGTATAAACAGAGCGAGCCCTGCTTCTATCTATCTATGGATTTATATAGTGTATAAACAGAGCGAGCCCTGCTTCTATCTATGGATTTATATAGTGTATAAACCGAGTGAGCCCCAGTCCACACTGATTTCAAAAGAGAGACATTTGGGGGAATTATTAGCTTTGTAACTAAGTTGGAGGAAGGCCCGTGATAAGCCTGGATATTTCATTGATCTCAGTGGGGTTCTTGGATTAAGTAAACTTTTTGTGACTGCCACAGGAGACATGTCTTGGATCATTACCAGAAAAATGGCAAACTCCAGCACACTTGGGCCAAATCTCTGTAAGTTAAAATTAAACGCTGTTATTTTACAACTTCACATTTTGTAACCAGATTCCCTTTAAGCCTTTGTTGACGCATTAAATGAATGCAGTGAGAGAATGGAAACGGTTCTCTCATAATGTTTTCTTTAGCACATAAAGTCCAGCCCTAACGGCACTCTAAGGGAACATGTGAAGATAGAAATTCCTCTGCAGGTTGATGAGCTTGGCAAATTCGGACTGAGCATTCTGTGTATTTTTATATTTGTTCCCGTGCCAGGTCTGTCAGCCATGGAGGGCACACAAAGAGGAGACAAGCTAAAAATACTAGGATGTAGCTCTAAATGTTAAAGAGGAAGATTTATATTTTTTGATTTGTCGACATCATGTTCAAACGTTCCACCATTGTGAATTATTAAAGGGACAATCCACAATGCATTCTGATTTTTTTGCATAATACCAGTCGTAGGTTTTTTGCACCATTGGAAAACACCTTTGCGACAGCCAGGGTAATGAATGTAAATAGCTGAATGCTCACTAACCTCAGAGATGCAGAGATTTTTCTATAGAGAATCCTCTTTCTGCTGTAAATCTATGAGGAGTGAGCACCTAACTAATAGCCCAACTGTGATTATTCCGCTCATTTTAATTTATTGATGCACAGATCTAAATCTGCAGAAAGGAAACTACTATAAGAGAACAAGCATTGATCCAGTGTTTGGTGGAACATTACGAATCAGTAATCACCCGTCTATGATGTCATAGTGGGGGGTACGTAGTCAGAGGTATTTCAGATTGTAATGCCAACTTGCACACATGATGCTGGTAGTAATTGGGAAAACTCTCTGAGAGCGACCATTGAAGGAAGTTATCTATTACCTCAGCCATATCTAACGTGAATAGAATATGCAATATGCAATATTCTACAGGAACATTCCATTGGGAAATAAATGAATATCACTTGCTTGTTATTATACTCCCAATGAAAGAATGCATGCATTCAATTCTGCAATTTCGTCATTGGAGTCATATCTAAAACCACCTTGTAAAAGCTGCAAACCTGCTATCTGCAGTCAGGGCCGGAATGGCCCACCAAGAGACCGGGAAATTTCCCGGTAGGCCGCGACACCTGGGGGGCTGGAGATAGAGAGGGAGCCCAGCTCCCTATATCTTAATAATATTGCGGCCGCCGGCCCCATCTCCTGTGCTGTACTGCTGTCAGTATCAGTGAGTGTGCCGGGCGGCCGCCTAAGCGATCCAGCGGCACACTCACTGATACTGACAGCCGTGCAGTTGTCAGCACAGGAGGACTGAGGGAGTGGGCAGAGCTAACTACCATTCCCAGCATCTACACATCATAGAGTGATCACTACTTTATGATGTGTCCATGCTGGGAAGTATGGGAACCGTGAGGGAGCATGGTAGCTAGCTCTGCCCCCTCCCTCAGTCCTCCTGTGACAAGGTAAGCAGGGACACAATAAGGGTGGGGAGGGGAAGGGTGGGGGACACATAGAGAAACACAGGGGAAGATGTGGCACAGAGATTGAGGGGTAATAGAGAGACACCAGGTTGGGGTGGGGGGACAAAGAGACAGAGAGATAATAGAGAGACATAGGGGTTGGGTGACAAAGAGAGAGGTAATAGAGAGACACAGGAGAAGGGCGGACACAGAGACAGATGGGGTAAAATAGAGACACCAGGGAAGGGGGGACCAAGAGACAGGGGATAGGGGGACAAATAGACAGAGGGGTAAAAGAGACACAGGGGAAGGGGTAAGAGAGAGACACAGGGAGGAGATGGGAGAGAGACACAGGGAGGAGAGGGAGGAAGAGAGACACCGGGAGGAGAGGGGGAAGAGAGACACAGGGAGGAGAGGGGGAAGAGAGACACAGGGATGAGAGGGGAGAAAGAGACACACAGAAGGTTTATTGGGGGGACAAGGAGACATAAAGAAGGGAAGGGGAACAAAGTGACACAAGATTTGTGGGAGGCAACGCTGGGCTGGGGAAAAAGAGACAGAGTGACTGGGAGAAGAGAAAGAGGCACACAGAGTCTGGAGTTAGAAAGAGACACACAGATGAGATTTGGAAGGGGAGAAAGAGAAAGTGGCTGGGGCTAAGAACTACACAAAAGGGGCTGGGGGAAAGAGAAATACAGAGGCTGAAGAAGGGTAAAAAGAAACACACAGGGGCTGGGATGAAGTAAAAGATACATAAGGGTCTCTGTAAGAGAAAAAAAGGAGACAATTGGAGACAAGATACACTAAACGAGGTAAAGGTAATAGACGTAAATTGACGTGATCCTGACAGTGATACACACATATATATGCAGGTATATTGATGTGTGTATTAGTAACATATAATTATGCCTATAATATTTACACATATAGTAATATACATTTATATATGCATAATACACACATAAATATCATTAATATATATATGCATGTAATGAGCACGTATTGGCCCAGTCTTGTTGCTAGTTGCATACTAATGCACAATAATGTATTCACAGTGAAGAGCGCACCCATGGAACTTCAAAATATACAAGATTACTTCATTTTTTTAGTTGTGCAACTGCAGACATTCAGCATTTCAGTCCCATTACTAAAATGTCCTTAATAGGCCAAAGTAGTTGTACTGAAACATTGATTACATGCAAATGTACGTCTACTTAAAATAAAGGCGCTCTTTTGTTTATTTTGAAGCCCTATATGCGTTCTTTCGTTGGAGTAAGAGTTTTCAATTTCAATTTTTTCACCCTCTATATCAGCACACTATGCTGGCGCGACACATTATTGGGCTGGTATAGAATTTTTTTCCAGGGCTGCTTTGAGTTCCCAGTCCGGCTCTGTCTGCAGTATTTGGAAGCCCCCCTCTTTCCCCGGCACAGACTCTCAGTCTAGGAATACTGCAATCAGAGACTTCTCATTGAGAATCCTCTGTCCTGGAGCGGTGGCTGCCCGATGCTTCTCAATGGGCTGTAGTACAGATGGGGTAAAGGCCGTAGATCTTTTTGACATTGGCGCGTCTATAAACTGACAAATATGACAGACTGCTAATATATAAAGCGTTTCAGCAAGCTATTTGTAAGGTGATTCTGTAACCCGATCAGTAAAACTAGCTTTCCCTCGCGTTCAGACCTGCACAGCACATAAACACTGGGAGAAAATATATTTGGAAACAAATGTTTAACATTAAACATCATTAGGATACGTCTAACCTGCTCTTCAGTTACCATCTGGCGCGCAATTTATGCAATTTTTGTTCATTTGCTACCTTAATGACAATTCCTACTTCCCTGTGGTCAAAGCAATTGACAGAAAGCTTGTTTTTACGCTGTTACAGTGTGAGCGAATCTACCTGTATGTGTGGTCAGTGTATACGGGAGTCACGTGCTCACTGATAACTCATTTCTGTTGCTGAAGTTCTGCAGAATGTGACACTGGAGAGAATATTAATTTACCCTACCACATATTGTTTATCGTGGAAAGCCAAGTTGGCCCAAAAATCTAGAATTAGCTTACTAATTGGTTTAATATAGCGCTCACTTATTCCTATATTTAACAAATATGTGTTTGTAAGGTTTGAACAAATTGAAATGTAGCAATCCACATCTGTTCACACTGCAACTGGGCGCCCCCAACTTAACTCCCTGTCAATCATTGTTATAAACTCCGCTCTTTACACCTGGCAGTAAGTATAGAGAGAGCCGCCTCCATCTTAGCTCCCTGTCAATCATTGTTATAAGCTCCGCCCTTTACACCTGGCAGTCAGTATAGAGAGAGCCACCTCCATCTTAGCTCCCTGTCAATCATTGTTATAAGCTCCGCCCTTTACACCTGGCAGTCAGTATAGAGAGAGCCACCTCCATCTTAGCTCCCTGTCAATCATTGTTATAAGCTCCGCCCTTTATACCTGGCAGTCAGTATAGAGAGAGCCACCTCCATCTTAGCTCCCTGTCAATCATTGTTATAAGCTCCGCCCTTTATACCTGGCAGTCAGTATAGAGAGAGCCACCTCCATCTTAGCTCCCTGTCAATCATTGTTATAAGCTCCGCCCTTTACCCCTGGCAGTCAGTATAGAGAGAGCCACCTCCATCTTAGCTCCCTGTCAATCATTGTTATAAGCTCCGCCCTTTATACCTGGCAGTCAGTATAGAGAGAGCCGCCTCCATCTTAGCTCTCTGTCAATCATTGTTATAAACTCCGCCCTTTACACCTGGCAGTCAGTATAGAGAGAGCCGCCTCCATCTTAGCTCCCTGTCAGCCATTGTTATAAGCTCCGCCCTTTACACCTGGCAGTCAGCATAGAGAGAGCCACCTCCATCTTAGCTCCCTGTCAATCATTGTTATAAGCTCCGCCTTTACACCTGGCAGTCAGCATAGAGAGAGCCGCCTCCATCTTAGCTCCCTGTCAGTCATTGTTGTAAGCTCCGCCCATTACACCTGGCAGTCAGTATAGAGAACGCCACCTCCATCTTAGCTCCCTGTCAATCATTGTTATAAGCTCCGCCCTTTACACCTGGCAGTCAGTATAGAGAGAGCCACCTCCATCTTAGCTCCCTGTCAATCATTGTTATAAGCTCCTCCCTTTACACCTGGCAGTCAGTATAGAGAGAGCCGCCTCCATCTTAACTCCCTGTCAATCATTGTTATAAGCTCCGCCCTTTACACCTGGCAGTCAGTATTGAGAGAGCCACCTCCATCTTAGCTCCCTGTCAATCATTGTTATAAGCTCCGCCCTTTACACCTGGCAGTCCGTATAGAGAGAGCCACCTCCATCTTAGCTCCCTGTCAATCATTGTTATAAGCTCCGCCCTTTACACCTGGCAGTCAGTATAGAGAGAGCCACCTCCATCTTAGCTCCCTGTCAATCATTGTTATAAGCTCCGCCCTTTACACCTGGCAGTCAGTATAGAGAGAGCCACCTCCATCTTAGCTCCCTGTCAATCATTGTTATAAGCTCCGCCCTTTACACCTGGCAGTCAGTATAGAGAGAGCCACCTCCATCTTAGCTCCCTGTCAATCATTGTTATAAGCTCCGCCCTTTACACCTGGCAGTCAGTATAGAGAGAGCCACCTCCATCTAGCTCCCTGTCAATCATTGTTATAAGCTCCGCCTCTTTACACCTGGCAGTCAGTATAGAGAGAGCCACCTCCATCTTAGCTCCCTGTCAATCATTGTTATAAGCTCCGCCCTTTACACCTGGCAGTCAGTATAGAGAGAGCCACCTCCATCTTAGCTCCCTGTCAGTCATTGTTATAAGCTCTGCCCTTTACACCTGGCAGTCAGCATAGAGAGCGCTACCTCCATCTTTTTTTATTGAAAGTTGCATATTGTTACATACTGCATAAATTGTATACATTTCACATAAATTATTTACACACCCTGGTGCGGTAACGTAGCTATTTCAGGATACATGTGATCTTTGTCAGAGATATACAAACATACAATCTACACTGTATGCCAACCAAGAGATATTACAATTACATTAGGTAACAGGTATAATGGTTGACAGCATAAATGGTGGTAGTGTGCTGAACCTGTATAATGGATAATGAGTGCTCTGCTGTCTGCATGTGCTCCCTGATTTTCCTTGGTTGCAAACGTCAGATTTGTGCACATATTGAATATGACCCACTTGTGACTTCTCCCACTTAGTGGTATCAGTATGGAAGGGCATGTGTGAGGCAGTGTACTGCATGTATGCATCTGCAACATGTACTGATTAGATTTAACCAAAGCTAAACATACAGATTAGAAAGAGGGGGGAAACAACATAAAAAAAAACAGAAAACATAGGTTCGCAGTGATTTGAGTGTCTTTATAGGCTGTTCACCTCTAACTCCGGCTTTATATTGGTTCAAGTGTGTGCTTGCAATGTGTCTCAGGTACTGAGGGGGCTTAGAAGAAAACGTATGTCTAACCAACATGCCCCCATCTTGGTGTGAACACCTTCTTTTAGCCTGTAGGCCATTTGTTCATATTGATACGTAGTTTCTACTCTTTTCAATACTTCATGAAAGGCTCGCTATACTGGTTTTCGCAGCCATTAGTAGGTGTATAATGACAGACCTCTAGGGTGCAGATTAATCGGGGATAGGTGGAGGAGGTAGCACTCCATTCGGAATGGCATTGTCCTCGATGTGAGCTAGGACACAGCATCCCTTATTCAGTGCTAAAATAGTGTCAGCTTGGGGTAGTCCCAGAAGATCTGTTTGATGGAACCAGTGTGAAGGCCACATCTTCAGCACATCGGGGAGACACCATTGTACATTTTTGCTAACCTGGCTGGGACCAAGTACCACCTCATTAGTAACTTGCAATAAGCCTCCCAATGGGAAAGGCTGTTAGAGTATGCCCTCATTGTTTGCATCGTTTGTAGCCATAGTGGGATAGGAAACATTATGTCCAGGTCCCTTTCCCATGGTTCTATATAGGGGTGTTTGGTTATAGTGTCTGTATCATTAATCGCAGCGTAACAAAGGGAGAGGGATTTTTTGTTTGTACGTTTACTTATACAGCGTTGGCCAAAGGCCGTCAGTTGTGATTCTTTACATTGCTGTAGTTTGTGTGTTTGTGTGATATGTTTCAGTTTAATGTAGGTAAAAATATAATTGTTTTTTAATGGTTTGACCTTTGACCTGGTGTCTGCTGTGCACCACTTTCTGCCTCCAATGTCATTGCTGGAGAGTCTGAAGTAGAAACTTCTATAGGTCTCCTGAGTTTAAGCCCTGCAGTAGATAAAAAAAGATCTGTCACTTTCTGAGTTTTTTGCATATTTTGCAAAGACCTCAGAAGCTGTCCTTCACGGCCGTTGCCGTGTTCAACTCCTGGAGCCATGACACTGCTGTATGCTTGCACATGCGCAAAAGTACAACACTGAGATCTATGGAAAATCCTGCATGGTCTTGTTTTATCAACTTTTGTCAACCTCAGGCGTCAAAATGGTCCCTACTTAGTCTTAAGGTATCTTTGGTTTGTAACATAATTTTAGTAACATTCCAATGCAGTCTCGATCAGTATTTCATAAAGAATATATATTTACTGTGACAGTATTCAGCATCACTGGGAGCAGAAGATGGACACTTTATGTAGGTCTCAGAATTCTTCATATGTTTTAGTCACCCTGTGCCCATTATGGGTGCTGGGTGTGTATAATGTGACTGTTTTTTGTTACATATGTTGTGTGCTTGCCTGTCCTGCTGCTTCTCTGAAGCAACTAGGTGGATTTGTGAAGCCTGTACAGTGCCATCTGTTGATTGTGAGGATATGGAAGCAGCTATATTCACTACCTGGATAGCATGGCTTGCTAATTTACATATTCAGGTAGATTTCCATATTATGAGTTCTGCAGGCAGGGGCGATATTTTGTGTTAGTTATTGCCTTCCACACCCTTGCTGGATATGTTATTGTGTTATTATGAGTTCCTGTATGTTCCCCGTATGAATTGGTTATTTGTTTTAGATTCAGTTTTTCACCATAAGTTTGATGTAATGTGCATAGGGGCTAGTCCTGAGCAAAAATGGTGTGTCAGTTCCATTGGGAGCTGTGTGTCTTTGTTGGTTTGTTCAAATATATCAATAACAGAGTTGTTGGACCTTTTGGGTGGCATGGCTGGTGGCTGATTCCCAGTAAGAGCTAGCCCTGAGAGCCACACATGCCTGTGTAAAGGCAGTAGCTGGTCACAGTGTAGGCAGCTGCAATGATCCCTCTCTGGAAGGAGAGAGCTGCAGCCTGGTCTAGGGTGGACAAAGTCTTAAAAGACCACAGTCAGGCTTTGGCGACTGGGGCTGAAGCATCCAGGGTCTGTGATGGAAGGTACCTTGACCCAAGGCTCAAGCTATAGACGACTGGATGACCAGTCTGTTTTTACTTTCATGCTATGCTTTGAACTTTTAGTCTAGTTTCAGTGTCTGACAAGTAAGCATACATTTGTTACTTCTGATGTTCTGTAGTTTCTGAGGAGACAATTGCAGCTTTACCCTCAGCCCCCCTGCTTATGTTTTTACTATATATAACCGTTGAAATATGCTTAGTTCTGTAAATTCCTTTTATGGTACAAAGTGCCTTCAAGCATCCTATTTTTCTCGCGCAAGTCACAATGCTGTTTTACAAAGTACTATATAGTCTGAAAGCTCACCCAATAAAAGAGGAAGTAATCTGAATCACAAGTGTCTGGTGTGTCTGATTTGATTGCTTCACCGAGCGCGCTTGAGGTATCAAATTTGGTTTCCCGTGAACATATCTCCGGGAAACTTAATATCACTATCAGATCCATGAAAGCAGCTTGGAAGAGAACTGGGTGGAGGTACTCAGCTGGACTACTCGAGCCTTGTCACATTTATGAAATACTGAAAAGTTACAAATTCACTTTATTATACATTTCAAATAGTATCCCCTTTTCACTGCACAAACTGCACGGGGCTTGGTACAGGATTGACAGTAGTGTGACAACTAATGATAGTTTTGGAAAGATTAAAAAAATATATTATAATGACACATGCAGGTTTTCTAAATAAAATTCATAAAAATATAATCCATCCAGGATTGCAAAATATTTTTTCTAGAAGAATTTGAATTGCACAACAATATGGTAGGAAAAACCATATCGTAGCTAAGACACATGCATGGGATGGGAGGGGAGGGTAGTGGGCGCAGGGAATAGCTCACCAGTAGAAATAGCAATAAATATTATGAAGAATGAAATGCATAAGGTTTGCAGGTATCTAGGAGAATGGTGATAGTGAATAGACCAACAGTCATAATCTTCACATCTCTTTGTTGCTGCAAAACATAGAGCATAAGATTTTTTGCATCACACAGAGAATGCCCGTGACAGCAAATCTGTCTTTTTAACAAGAGATCATTCTCACCCTCCCATGATTGACAGACAGTGAGCAAACGCAATACGTCTCTAACTGGCTCCCTGAACAGCAAGACAAATGACCTCAGCGATTGAGATATTTCAAAAAATCTACAAATCAGATGCCCTCGTTTCCCTAAGAGCTCTGTATGCTGCGGTAAAGAAAGCATCGTGACCAAATGGTGCTGAATTTCATGTTGACAGCGTCCTGAGACACCCCACTGGGGCAGATCAGCTGTTATCTGGGTCAATTTCTGAAGAAAGAAAAAAATGACACCCTTGGTGACCAGTAGGGGCTGGGAGGGGTAGGGGGAAATGGGAAATAAAAATCTATATAATATTTATTGTAACCCAAAACATTTCCATAACGAAAGACATCGGAGGTGTCAATCTGCACGAAGTACATTGTCATCCTTCAGAAAAAAAAAATAATCAAAATTTTACCTAAGCTTAAACATTTGTATGTAAAACATTTTCCACCAACTACATTTTGATAAAAATTAAATATAAGATGGTCTCTTCGTTGTCCTCGGAGTAGGCATGTGTGTCGTCATCACTCTGATACAGCAATGTGATATGAAACTCATTGTATTTTAACTACTGAATAATTAGAATTTGTTTATACATTTGTTGCCAATGCGCAGTAAAGCTGATGCCAATCAGACAGAGTGTGTGCCACACAAAGCCAATCAGACAAAGTGTGTGTCACCCAATGC